AGGAATGTCTCCCTGGGTTCCAGTCTCAGCTCTAACCCTTAATAGATGAGCATTAGTTTCACCTTTTAAAATTAAGATAAATATTCTCATAGGAGTTAAAGATTAAATGAGATCATCTGTATAAAACACTCAGCACAGTGTCTTACACACCCAGCTCTCTGACTATTGACTATTAGGAAGAATGGGGAAAAAATACACACAATGAAGAAATGAAGCACAATGTCTTCATGCTTCTATGCCTATTCATGCTGGAAAGTCATAGTGGCAGAAGTTGAGGCAGAGTCTTCTCTTTCTCTTTGTTTATTTGCATTTCCATATTGGCCTTTGCAAGCTACAAGACAATACAACTCAATGTCTAGAGTCTGACTTGCTGTGTTTTTAAGACTGTAAGATAACAGAATTGAAGATCCTAGATAAAAGTGGAAGAATAAAGGTTTTGTAACAATGTTTGGGGGAAGAAGGGAAACTAATACCCTCTTCTGTCTCTGCTTCTCCCATATTCTTAGAACCCAGACTTAAAACTACCCCAGAAAAGCTGGGTGAAATCCTACTAAGGATCCCTTTAGAACCAATGACTCCAGAGCTGCTTTCCACCACAGTTGGTACTTCCCTGTAGTTGAAGTAATGGTGAAAACAACAGGACATGATTCTAAATTACCCTCTGAGCTGCCTCCAGATTGGCTCCTGGTGGCAAAAATTCTTAGACAAGCTGGGAAAGGAAGGAAAATAGGAATGACGGCAATACTGCAGGAGTATTGCTAGTACTTTGCCTCCACTGCCTGGCTTCCCCAAATTATACCCAAACTGTTACAAATCTATTCCATAAACAGATTCTGGAAATGTACAACTTGATCAAATTTACATAAAATCACAAAAATCTAATCTCCACAAGGGCAGGGACTTTTGATTTTGTTTACTGATGTTACTGAGTGACTAGAATAGTACCTGGCACATGACAAGACACTCAGTAAATACTGGTTGAATAAGTGAGTTAAAGTCAGTGACAGGGATCAACCAGAAGGGTTCTGTGCTTAGTTTTAGGGTCTTTCAATAAAAATGAATTATGCTACCTCTTGTAGCAATTACCTTTTAAAGTCTGGGGGTTAACAGTGCTACATTATACTCTTATTAAGGATGTTGCACAGTTTTCCAAAAATATATTTATTTTTAAAAACAAAAATCAGACAAGTTTTGTAGAGTCAAAGTTTCCAGAGACAAACTAGAGTTTGGATTTCAGCTTAATGAATGTTAAGCAATAGTAATCTCATGCAAAATTATTTCTCTCAATAGGAGGTAAAAATTCTGCTTGATAGCAAGCACTTGATTCTCTAAATCTTGTTTGCACTTCCGCCAACATTTTACTCCATTCCAGGGCTCCAGCATGCAAAATAATCCACCTCTAAAATTCAAAACTTCCAAATTGAGATGAACGATTGTTGGGCTTGGGTTGGGGTTTATAACCTATTCTATCATTAATCATTTGTTCCCGGCTCTTGGAGTCACTGCTGAGCCCAATGGCACCTTCTCCATCACTGCCTCCTACAACGTCCACATCTTCCTTTTGTTTTTTACGAGTCTGAAAGTATACAAGTTTTAGGATTAAGGCAAAATAATTTCCATTAGCAAACATTTATTTAGCACCTTCCTTGTACTAGGGTCTAGAATAAAGGATAGGGTTAGGGACTGTAGAACAACAAACTGAAATCCTAGGTTGAGATGCTTAGGGGCACAAGAGGAATACAGGGATATAGTGATAAAAAATACAACCTCTACCCTCCAGAATGGCACAGTCTAACAGAGAAAAGGGTAAATAGTTAAAGCATCGGGTGATCAGGGCTATGACAAGAAAGCCCACATTGCCAAAGAGACACAAAGAAGAGGTGAGGAGCTAGGTGAACAGTGGTGGAAGTTCACAGCTGGAAGCTGCAACTAGAAAAATAAATGTATAAGACATATGTTAGCAGAACCTACTGTGGTACAATATACGTTAAGTCAGACCATCATGCTGCATGTCTTAAACTTATACAGTGATGTATGTCAGTTGTTTCTCCAAACTGGAAAAAAAACAGAGTTGGCAGTTGAGGAGAAAAAGGGCATTTCACTAAGTGTATTAAAGAGAACAGATGGAAAAAAATTAAGTGACTGGTAAAACAATAACCACCAGAAATTAACAGCTTGACTGACACCATGAGATTAACACAAGAAAAGCTTCTTTACTATCTATCAAAAGGTCTGAATTTTCTTATAAAAAGGGTTAACCCATGCTATGTTATCAAGTTTTCTTTTGTTTTCAGATAAAAGGTTTGACTCTAATGTCACAAGTGAACTGCATAATTCACAAAGTCTATGTCTCAGTTTGATCATTTTCAAAAAGAGACTAACACCCCTTAACTACCACTAGTACTTAGATGTTATAAGATGCTATTTGATGATGATAACTTTCTCTGAGAGAAGGAACAAATGTTTTATCTGGAGTTCCTACTAGAAGAATGGCTCAACTAATCACTAGAACCACCAGCATTCTTCACTACTTATTGCTGAACTGTGAGCATTCAAATGCTGAAGTCAAAGTATTATGTGAATTATATGAATCAAATAAGGTATTACTTTATAAGTACATGTAAATATAATGACCTTGTTAAGTTACTCTCTAGTTAGTCTACACTACCAATAAGTAACACTACAAAGTTCTCCCCAAATTTTGTGAAAACAAGTTCTAAAAGGAAAAGGATGCTATTATTTTACAAGCCATGAGAAACTCAGGATATCCAAATGGAATGAAATCATGTCCAAGGCTTCCCTCAGTGAACAGTGCTGTTTCAGAATCCAGGGTCATCAAAATGTAATCAAACTAGTTCTAGTAACAAACCAAATACCAGTTTTCTACCGATTTCATTTTAGTTCAGGGCAAAACTATCCCTCACTCCTAAGATGCTCTAAAACAGGTCAAAGCCACTGGAGAATTTTGTCTTTAGTAGTAAGCCTAACTTAATTGTGAGCTGACTCTGCAGAGTCAGAGTTCAGTATGAGGCTCATTACAACTGAAGTTTAAACCATCCTTACAGGGCATTTCAGGGAAAGGGAACAGAGAGTGCATAGGCACCAATATTAAAGTTAAAGATAACCCGGCAGTGACAGATAAAGTTGAGAGATGAGCAAGGACCAGATCATAAAGGGCCTTGTATGCCATCCTAAGAAATCTGGACTTAATTCTGAAGGTCACTAAAGAATTTATGTCTTATTAAAGGACATCTATACTGTGTGTTAAGGTTACACTTAAAAATATATATTGAGCTCCTACTATGAACTGGATGCTGGCAACTCAGCAGTGGAAAAACAGACATGATTTCTACAGTTAAGGTTCCTAATGTAAATGGTTTCACAATAAACAAATAAATAATTGTAAATTATAATACTATGAAATAAAAGAATAAAGTGCTTTGAGAAACCCTAATGAGATGCAGGCAACATGGATAAGAATGACACACTTAACTTGGATAGAGTCAGAAGAGGTCTCTCAAACTGAGGAAGTAACATTTAAACTGAGACATAAAGAAAAGGGGAGCACTCCAAGCAGAGGGAAATAATACGTGTAAGGCCATGAGGAAGAAAGTTTGGCCTGTTCAAGGAAATGAAAAAAGCCAGTGTGCATGGGGTACAGAGGGCTAAGCAAAGAGTGGCAGGAAGTGAATGAAATCTGAGAGAGGCCAGAACATACAAAATCTTGTAGGCCATGATGAGGAACTGACATTTTATTCTAAGTACAGGAAACCACTGAAGAGTTTTAAGCAGAGGAATGATGTGATCAGAAATGTTTAAAGATCATTCTAGATACCTGATGGAGAATGGACTGAAGAGACAAAAATAGAAGCAGAAAGACCATTTAGGATTCTATTGAAATTGTACAGAGATGATGGCTACTTAGACCAGGGCTGTAACAGTGGAGATTAAATGATATGGGTAGATCTAGAAATATTCTGGAGGTAGAATCAAAGGATGCACAGATAGATTGAATATAAAAGGTGAGGGAAAGGGAGAACTCAAGAATGACTCCGAGGTTTCTAGCTTGAGCAACTGCATAGATACTGAGATAGGGAACACTGAGATGAAACTGGTTTGAAGAAGAGACCAAGAGGGTTTTTTTTGTTTTAATATGCTAAGTGTAGTAGGCTGAATAATGAGCCCCAAAACTATCAAGTCCTAATCCCTGGAACCTGTAAATGTTGCCTTATACAGGAAAAAGGTATTTGCAGGTGTGATTTAATTAAGTATCTTGAGATGGAGATGTATCTAGGATTATCTGGGTGTGCCTTAAATGCATCATATGTATCCTTATAAGAGGGGACAGAAGATTTCACAGAAAAAACAGAAAGCAATGTAATCACAGAAGCAGAGATTGGAGTGACGCAGCCACAAGTCAAGGAATGCCAGAAGCCACCTGAAGCCAGAAGAGTCAAGGAACAGATTCGCCCCTAGAACCTTTGGAGGGGGCCTGGTCCTACTGACACCTTGATTTTGGACCAGTGATACTGATTTCGTATTTCTGGCCTACAGAACTGTGAAAGAATAAATCAGTTTTTTAAACCACCAAGTCTGTGGTAATTTGTTATGGCAGCCACAGGAAACAAATTCACTGAGTTGCCTATAAACTATCCAAATAGAGATTTCAAATAAGCTGTTGGTAGGAGAGTCTACAGTTCAAAAGTTAAAGTTATTGTTTTAAACATTCCTAAAGGTTTGAAGGCTGTAGTCTTCTTACCTCCAGGTCCTTTCGAATGCTCTCAAACTCCTCAATGTCATCAAGTTTCAGCTCCAGGCGGGTCGGTTTTCGTCGCAGCATACTGAAGTCAATGCTAAGGGCCAGACCCAGTGAACTATTAGCTGTTAAAAATAACAGAGAGGAGGAAACACTGGAGGGAATAGAACTCAGTTACAATTGAGAACAAGATGTCAGCATGAATGCTAAAATGAATGGTGATACAAAAGACTTATTTCAATTCACACACAGACTTCTAGTCTTTAGGTATACGATTATTAGACTGTGTTACTGTATGATGGAGATCCACAACTGTAATTCCAAAAAACTCTTTCTTCCATAACTTAAAATAGTAAGCTGTGTATAAAAGAGAATTCTGGGCAACAATTACTTTAATCTTATCTTCCACTCACATTCAAAGAAATACTCCAACTAAGAAAATAAAGTTAAAATATCACATCTTAATTCAATAGTTAGTGAGAGAGGAGACAAGCTATTAAGTTTGATCGACTCTACCTGAGCGTTGTGAGACATCTGCGATCACTCCTGAATGCTAAAATCAGTTTACTAAATCTCATGAAAACTTCCTCTGACTCACCAATTCACAGGGTTATCCTCAGGGTCTAAACAGGTCCTAAATGGGTCATTCATTCATTAAACAAACACTTCTTTGCCCCAGCTACAGAGTAAAAGGCATAGTCACAGTCTGTATGGAAAACAAAAATGTAAACTGAAAACTGTAATACAGTATATTAAGAACTCTGATGAGCATAACGCTAAGGGATGATGAGAGTAGCACAAGCACTCAATCCAGTGTGAGCTGAGTGTGGGGTGGTAGGGAGGTGGAAGACCTCCTGGTGGAGATGATGTCGACTTGTGAAGGAGGCAGAGAAAGGATCACGGGCATTCAGTCAGTGAGAACAAGTATGCACAGAGGCTCAAGAGAATACCCCAGAGTCTGAAAACCTAAGGTGATGCTCATGCTAACAAAAACCTTTTTTTTCTTTAGAAGAAAATAAAACTCCCTAACTGAATTTAAAACCTGTTGATGGCACCATCTTTACATTCTCCAGAGCATCCAGTAGCGTATCTATAATAATCAATTGGTCAATGTTTTGTTGAATAAACTGCGACATCTGAATTTTAAAAAGTGAAATGAACTTTGCTTGAGCACCATGCTATACTTTTCCATTCCCATTCTTCTAAAACGTATTTAAATACATTTTTAGTTTAACACAGAAACCCTGTGATGCTGACAAAATTACCCCTAATTTACAGATGAAGTCGAAGCTGTTCAGTTTGGATCACAAATGTCAGCCTGCTATACAAATTGTAAATAGGTCACATGGTGAGGATCAAATGGGAATGATGTAAGTGAATTCTCTTTTAAAGTATGCACAGATATAAATTATTATTATGTGTATCTAGGATGTAACTAGGGGCTGTGAAATATACAAAGGAAAAACGTTTCCTTCTCCCATGAAGCTTGGAACAGATACAAGTGATATTATCAATATAAAACACTGGCACCCTACATTTCAAATTGCTTTGTACTAAATCAGATATTGTTAGGCAGAAAGACAGAAATGAGCAGGATGAAAGGAGAAAGGGCCCCCCAAAAATGACTCAGGGAGTTGATCAAATAGAACCAAAAAGCCAAAAATGACTCAAAGAGTTAATCAGATGAAGCCACAGGGTCCAAGAGTGACTCAGGAAATGTCCAAGGTCTCCCCACATAAGAAACATCAGAGGCACAGGCACAGCACAGCCCCTGTCCTCATTGCACCAATCAGAACAAGCCTGGAGAGCTGACAGCTGTCAACCAAGGACCTCTCTGCCCTGCCAAAACTGCATAAAAGAAGCCTCAGAATGAGCATCCACGCCAGCCTGTCTTGTCTTAGGCAGGGTCCACTCTGCTACTCTATGCAGAGTGTATTAAACCTTACTTTGCTTTCTTGACTTTGGTCTCTCGTATCACTGTACCTGACTTCCCTGCGACACCGAGCCGAGTCCTTTCCTTCCTAACAATATTATCTTGATTCCTATGTAGACAAATGATAGAGGAAGCCAAAGTTGGGGTGGGGAAAAGGAGGAAAAATGCTTAAAAGGAAAAAAAAAAAATCCCTACTATACATTTCTTAACTTTTCCACAAACTGTGAAGAGCTCGCCAGTAGGGAGCAGTATAGAATAATGGGTAAAAATCCTAGCTCTGGAAGCGAAAGGGCAAGAGGGCACTGATTCTAATCCCATCCCCACTGACCTCGGACAATTAGCGTCATCTTTCACTAGATCTTAGTTTCCTCATCTGCATGGACTGAATGACGTTACACAGAGTATGTTCCTGTAACATAACTTGGCATTTAGAAAACGCTCAATAAATAACAGTGATTATTATTGTAACAGCTCGAGGAACACCAGTATGCTGAGTATCCCCACTCCCGATACTTGTCTTGTTTATCTCTGATGCCCCAGCACCCAGTGGAACACAGGGCCGCGTAGAGCTGTGCCTGCAGTTTACCTGATGCCTCCATATCCATCACTCATTTGGAATCAGAAACAAAGACCCTGCTGTAAACAACAAAAACAGGCCATGGCTCCTCCGCCGGATCCTTACCTTACTTTGCGCTAGAGGGCTCTTCGAGCTTAATCTCCCGCTCCTGCCCAAATCCACCAAAAATTCACTCAGCAAAAAGGAAGCCCTGGGAGAACTTCCTGACAGAGAAGAACAACACCCGTTCCGCAGCTCCACGGCTGCACTCGAGGGTCCAAGGCGAAGGTTTCCATGGATACATGGTCCTCGGCTCCAGGACAACTGCAGGGCCAGGAGCCACAGCAGGTTCCGGAAACCCTAGATTCGCTCCTCAGGTCTGACTGGAGCGGCGCGACTCGACACACCTACCTCTTGTCAAGCCGGCTCGGCCCCTTCCAGGAACATCGGCGCCCACCACGGGTCTTCTGCTAAGCCAACTGGACTACACTTCCCACACTGCTCCGAGCCTCTCTTCTTGCAGAACGTAGTCCACCGCGTGCACTGGTCATACCTCTCTTCGCGCTCAGACTCGCCCCGAATACTATTCCCGTCACCCTCCGCGCCGCCCAGGGCGCGGCGTCGGCCCTCGACCCACTTCCGGTCGGTGACGTGCTTCCTCTTTGCTGGGCGCGCGGTGGACGGTCTGAAGCGGAGAGCTCCGCTTTCGCTGGGGCTTCGCGGCTCCAGAGCCCAGCATGGCTTCCTCGCGAACCTCTTCCACGGTACAGATCTCAGCTCGCTCTGGCCGGGAGCGCCCAGGGGGTGGGAGTCCCTGCGGGATGGGGCCGTTAGGGAACGGGCTAAGGTGTCGGAGGGCTTAGAAGGGAAACTGCGAGACCCGGTCTTGTCTTAGCTGAGCAGCTATTTCCCTCATCCCAAGCTCTTTGATGCGCTCATTTGCACCGCATACTACAGCACCGAACGGTAAATGCCCCTTCCGACTGGTCCAGAAACGGATTTCTGAAAAGGAGTAGTGTGTTGGCCAAGATTTATGTCTTATGTCGGACTTCTTAATTGTAGATGAGGCCTCCTAACTTCATATCTACTGCCTCACGTCTAAAATATATAAACCAGTAACTTTGTAACTTGTTCCATCCACCGCGTTGGTTATTTCACTTATCCTTGATATTTCCCCTCTGATGATGAATAATCCTGGAAATTTCATAAAACCCTGGAAGAAATTGCACCTCCAACTGAATGAAGTTAACACGTTCCAAAGCAAACCTTTGATAGAAAAATGACCAAGAGAAATGAACTAATTTTATCAACTTCTTCCTATCTGCAAAACTTAGCGATTGAGAGACTGAAACCAACCCAAGACAATGAAGACAACTGGTGTCCAACTTGAACTTTACTTTGGGGAAGATACAGGATTGAAGCTGGGGATGAGCTTCATCCTTCGGGGAACCCTAGTAAATTGCTATGATTAAGCCTTAGTTTAATCCAGGTCTTTGATTTAGCAGGCAACCAAAACTAAGGCACCTGATGACTTAGTCGCTCCTGTTGTGAAGAAACCACACATCTATTATGGAAGTTTGGAAGAGAAGGAGAGGGAGCGTCTGGCCAAAGGAGAATCTGGGATTTTGGGAAAAGAAGGACTTAAAGCCGGAATTGAAGCAGGAAATATTAACATAACCTCGGGTAAGATGCAAATTGTGACTCCATCACATTTTGATGCTTCAATTTTCTGTAATGAATACCTTCTTAAACTTAGCTATCACTAGTTCTATACTGTCAAAATTTCAATTATTAAACTTGTATCTACATAAGGCCATAATTGGCCTACCTCATTTAGTATCATCCGGAGTCATTTTCTTTAAAGCCTTTTATACAGTTTTTCTCCTGTGAATTTTTAGTAATTTTGCCAGGAATTTATTCACTGTGTATTTGGATTCAGATTAATTCCTTTTGTCTTCTGGAGATCTAGATCTGGAATTGGTTTGGAGCTTCTGGGGTTCATAATATTCTCCCATTTTTAGTTTTACAATTATTTTTAACTAAAATTAAGTATCTTTTTTAAATTATGAAAATAATACTATTTTTATTTTGAAGGAAATCAAAGTGTAGAAATGTGTGAATTACAAAGTCCTATAATCCTTATTAATTGGGTCTGTATCTTTTAAAGAATTTAATAAAGCTGTAGAAATATATAGTTTTTTCCATAAATGAAACCATGATATACAAATTGTTTTATAACCTGCATTTTTCACTCTATGTGTAGTCCACTATATTATTAGAATAAAATATACTTGCTTGTCATAAGAAATTTCAGACAGCACAGAAGGGTATAAAATCAAAAGATCTTTGCAGAAAGGACTTCTGTCAAGTTTCTCATTGATCCTCCCACACATTCTCTTGTCTGTACACATGTACTTAGCAACTTTTGAAACCTTTTATGTTGTTTTGAACATAACTGCTTCACCACTGTACTTCTCATTTTCATCCAAATGTTTATATTTGGTGTGAGTTTTAAAACTAGCTGCTAGCTTATCCAGAAAGCCTTAAAGTCAAGGAATATAATTTTCATGGTAATTATTTCCAATTAGTTACATTTGTAAGTGTCCCTGTACTGACATTGTTTTAGAGAATAGACAATTGTTAAAATAACTTATCTATTTTACCTTCTAGACTGAAGCCTAGCTAACTCCTTTGCTAAAGATACTTACTCCATACTCTTCTCATCTAAGCTATGTGTTTATATAGGTATAAGGTTGCCAAATGAAACAAGATAAATGGAACCATTTTCCTGCCTTTTAAACTGTGTCATTTAGTTTTCTGTGTTTGGCATAATTTAATAAACTGAGAAACAGTAAGCTATAATGTGTGTAATAGTTAACTTTCTCTAGGAACATACACAGACTGTAACAGTAAGAAGTTATTTCTTGACCTTTACTTGAAGAACATCTGGTGATGATGCTAATGTTGTGTATTCTTTTTTATAGGAGAAGTGTTTGAAATTGAAGAGCACATCAGTGAGCGACAGGCCGAAGTATTAGCTGAGTTTGAGAGAAGGAAGCGAGCCCGGCAAATCAATGTTTCCACAGATGACTCAGAGGTCAAGGCTTGCCTTAGAGCCTTGGGAGAGCCCATCACACTTTTTGGAGAGGGTCCTGCTGAAAGAAGAGAAAGGTGCCCTTTCTAAATATTTATTCTTGTTTTTCAATCTTAAGGTTCTAGTTCCCAATTTAGTTAGTGTCTGTAACTAAAACCTTAATAGACCATCTTAGATAATCTTAACAGAATATCTTACTTTGTATTTATTTAGTTTAGCCCATAATCTGAGTCTTAGGCCAATTTTTACTCCACTGCTTATTTTTCTTCAGAAACTATGAACAGGGAGTTAATATGCTCTTTCCCCTTCCCAGTATGCAATTTTGAGTTGGGTAAACATTTGTCATTGAAGTTTGAAAAGTTAGACAACAAGTGCATTCTTTATCAGTCACATAAAGCATAATGGTAAGTGTCTTTTGGATGTTACTAGAAATGGGCACTGTCCTCAGATAATCCTCCTCTTGGGAGTTTAAGGTTGCAGAGTCTCTTAGTGACAGGCTAGTCCTGTGCAGTTACGAGGACATCCTCTTTTCTTTCTGTCCACTGTCCTATCTCTCCCCTTCATTGTTTTTTTTCTTGTTTGTATAGTCTGCATCTTAAATCATTTTAGAACCTCTAACATTATCTTATATACATAAAATAGAACCAGCAATGCTGGACCTATTTACAAGAAAAAAAAAATCACTGCACCAACCCAGTATTTTTTCTCTCTCTCTTAAGAAAGTGATGAATAGTTCACTGATATTCATTTTTTTAAGGTATCATTGATATACAATCTTAAGAAGGTTTCACATGAGCAACTTGTGGTTACCACATTCACCCGTATTATCCAGTTCCCCCCCGCCACACCCCATTGCAGTCACTGTTCATCAGTGTAACACTATGCTATAGGGTCACTATTTGTCTTCTCTATGCTATACTGCCTTCCCCGTGCCCCCCCTACATTAGTGTACCAATCATAATACCCCTCAATCCCCTTCTCCCTCCCTCCCCACCCACCTTCCCCACCCTCTTTTCCATTCTAACCGCTAGTCACTTCTTGGAGTCTGTGAGTCTGCTGCTGTTTTATTCCTTCAGTTTTGCTTTGTTGTTATATTTCACAAAGGAGGGAAATCGTTTGGTACTTGTCTCTCTGCCTGGTTTATTTCACTGAGCATAATACCCTCTGTCTCCATCCATGTTATTGCAAAGGGTAGGATTTGTTTTCTTATTCCATTGCGTATATGTACCACATCTTCTTTATCCATTCTTCTATTGACGTACACTTAGGCTGCTTCCATGTCTTGGCTATTGTTAATAGTGCTGCGATAAACATAGGGGTGTGTATGTCTTTTTGAATCTGTGATCTTGTTTTCTTCAGGTAAATTCCTAGGAGTGGAATTCCTGAATCAAATGGTATTTCTATTTTTAGTCTTTTGAGGAACCTCCATATTGCTTTCTACAATGGTTGAACTGATTTATATTCCCACCAACAGTGAAGGAGGGTTCCCCTTTTTCCACATCCTTGCCAGCAGTTTTTGTTCCTTTTCTTTTGGATGTTGGCCATCCTAACTGATGTGAGGTAATACCTCATTGTGGTTTTAATTTACATTCCTCTGGTGATTAGCGATGTGGAACATCTTTTCATGTGCCTGTTGGCCATCTGAATTTCTTCTTTGGAGAACTGTCTTTTCAGATCCTCTGCCCATTTTTTTAGTTGGATTACTTGCTTTTTGGGTGTTAAGGCATGAGTTCTTTATTTATTTTGGATGTTAGCCCCTTATCAGATATGTCATTTACAAATATATTCTCCCATACTGTAGGATGTCTTTTTGTTGTACTGATGGTGTCCTCTGCTGTACAGAAGCTTTTTAGCTTGATGTAGTTCCATTTGTTCATTTTTGCTTTTGTTTCCCTTGCCCGCGGAGATGCGTTCATGAAAAAGTTGCTCATGTTTATATTCAGGAGATTTTTGCTTATGGTTTCTTCTAAGACTTTTATGGTTCCATGACTTACATTCAGGTCTTTTGTCCATTTTGAATTTACTTTTGTGTATGGAGTTAGACAGTAATCCAGCTTCATTTTCTTACATGTAGCTGTCCAGTTTTGCCAACACCAGTTGTTGAAAGGGCTGTCATTTCCCCATTGTATATTCATGGCTCCTTTATCATATATTAATTGACCATTTATGTGTGGGTTTATATCTGGGCTCTCTGTTCTATTCCATTTATCTATGGGTCTTTTCTTGTGCCAGTACCAAATTATCTTGATTACTGTAGAGCTTGAAATTGGGGAGTGTAATCCCCCCAGCTTTCTTTTTTCTCAGGATTGCTTTGGCTATTCGGGGTCTTTTGGTTCCATATGAATTTTAGAACTATTTGTTCTAGTTCATTGAATGCTGTTGGTATTTTGGTAGGGATTACATTGAATCTGTAGATTGCTTTAGACAGGATGGCCATTTTAACAATATTAATTCTTCCTATCCATGACCACAGGATGTATTTCCATTTATTGGTGTCTTAAATTTCTCTCCTGTCTTGTAGTTTTCAGGGCATAGGTACCAACCCAATATCTTATAAAATCAGCCAGCTGGCCACAAGGGTCGGGGGGTGAGAGAGGAGGGGGCACGCCTGCGAAGGTGGCTGGGTACTGAAGGACTAGAGGAGAAAAAGAAAAAGGGGCTCCCAAATGGGAGGGGAACAATTATTCTAATAGGGGTACAGAAGGCGCTTCAGAAGATGGGCTTGGGGGACAGGACAGATCACTGCTTTCTCTACCAGGGCACACTGTAGGAGGGAGCTCAGTGCCCCTACCTGCCTACCCATGGCACTTGGAGAACCAGTAACCCATGAGCCCTTGACACGAGCCCCCTCTGAAACATGGATGATGGCCTGCCCTTCCCACCATGATCCCTTTTCCTAAGACCCTCTTGGCCTGCCTGCTTCTTCAGGACTTGGGGCTATTTCTCACTCACTATCTTTACTCTCTTAACATCCTTACCCCTCATTTACTCTTCAAGACACTTCAAACTGTTTGACCACTACCACACCAAAATTGCTCAATATTTATTAAGTCACCAACTCATCTTTACTAAGAATAGCCCTAATACACTGCCAGCCACTCCCTCTTTGAAACACTCCCTCTCCTTGGCTCTTATAAGACCAAACCCTCCTGATTTTCCCCTAATTCTTCTAAGCCTCTTTTTGCCCTGCCTAATCTTTGTGTACAAGATTCTTTGCCCTTACCCTGCTGTCAACCTGGGTAATCAGATCCACTCTGGTGGCATTGTTTACCACGGTATATTCTGATGACTCCTAGCTCTCTGCAGTCTAGGTATTCCATAGGTACTTCAGATGAGGCATGTCTACATTGAACTCATCTGTTCCCCACCCTTCTATTATCCTTGCTGAAAAACTGCCTCACCTCTGTAAGTCCGGGGAGAGGAAATCCCGGGGCAAAATACCTCTAAAAATCAAAATCAGTCAAAGGGAGAAATAAAGTTTAAAACCTGTTTATTGCTTACAAACTGCAGTCCAGAGCTGTCTCTCTCCTCTGCTCTGGAAGAAGTCAACCAGCAGGCAAGCAAGCCCCTCCCCTTAAACTCTTAGGTTCAGACACGCCCTCGGTTGCCCAGGTAATTACCCGTTGACATGGAGATGAACTTCTCTCCACTCCTGAGGATATGCAAATGCACTAAAGCCAGGTGAGATACTGTGGAAATGTTACAATTTTACCCACACCTCTTTTGTAGTCCATCAGCAAAATCTAGTCTATTCTACTTCTGAAATTTACTTCCAGTGTGTCCTCTTCTCTGCCTCCTCTGCTTTCATATCTAGGCTATTGTAATAGCCTCAAACGTATAGTGTTAATTGCTTAAAGTCCATCAGTATCTTATTAAACTTAGAGCAAAAAGTCCTCACGCTCTTAAACCTCACCTTATGCTACTCTTCCCCAGTGTGCTAGACCCAGCCACAGTTGCCCTCCTGCAATATTCAAGTACTTTTTTTGTCTTTCCACTTAATTTGGTTTTGTTCCCCCTTTTGTCTTTTAGAGCCTTTTTACTCTTTTGGTTTCAACACAAATGTCACCACCTCAAAGAAGCCTTTCCTAACAACCTGGACCCTTGTAAACTAGGCCCCTCCGTTATTCTCTACCATAGCATGTTGTTTTCTTAATAGCCTTCTCAAAGGGTATGTTTACTGTTTATTGTTTGTCTTCTCTAAAGCAAAGTCTGTTTTATTATTATGTGCCTTAGGTGAATGTCTTGAGTCCCTACTGCCACTATCTTAATTGAATCCACCATTAGCAGTCAGAGGATTCCTACAACAGTATACTGTCTGGTTTTCCTGCTTCTACTCTTCCCTCTTCAATCCATTTTCTGTACTTTTCCGGGGATCTTTCTCAAATGTAAACCATGCGTACCAAGGCATTAGGAGATTGTTGTACCCTGGCCCGTAATTACATTTGCCACCTTGTCTCTCACCAGCCCTTCTCTAGTACTCCGTGCTCTAGCCATACTGAACTATTTGTGATTCCAAGTTTATGCTGTTCTTACCTCCAGACCTCTGTTGAATCCTCTGCCTCAACTGCCCTTTCCCACTCCTGACCTATTGACGTGTCTAATTGAGGGCTCAGTTTAAGTAACACGTCCTTTATGAAGCCTTCCTGATCCTCCCTCCAAGCCTATGTTAGGTAATACTTTTGTTTCCCCCTAGCACCCTGTTCTTATCACTGTCATAATATATAATGTAATGTACTATAGTTTCTGTTTGCTTTCTGTCATCCTCCTGCCCCCAGGACTATGCTAATTGAAATCAAGAACTGTTGTTAGTCATTTCTGTATAGGTAACACCTCAGTCCATGTCCAGCACACTATGGCATGGAGTGAAGGCTGGCTGTAGACCAAGTGGTAGCAGTTGGGGCTAGTTGACTCTCAGTTGAATAGGGTAACTGCTTATAGTTCAATTTAGGGAATCTTCAGATAAAGAAGGTTGAGTGAAAAAAACACACTGGAATTTTAGACATGATAACTTGGCTGTTAAAGTTGCTTGAAGTTTGAATGGTGTGAGAATAGGGCTCCCTTCTTAGATAAACTTTTTGCAAAGTTATCTCAACACTGTTTAAATTCTGATCTTGTTTTGTGACAGGTTAAGAAATATTCTCTCAGTGGTCGGTACTGATGCCTTAAAAAAGACCAAAAAAGATGACGAGAAATCTAAGAAGTCCAAAGAAGAGGTAAAATATGTCTTTGGCTTCATAGTATAAACATGAAGAAAATGAGGAATATAGTTCTCTCAGTTCCTGTTTTCAGTTGTTTGCTTTGTTTGTATGGTGGGGGACGAATGTCTTTGAAGACTCTCCGATTTAAGAAGAGTTGATGGCAATGGTTTCTGGTTTCTGTGTAGGTATAATGGAGATGAGTGATTTTCCCATTCAGGAAAGAACTATAGCATTCCTTAGTTAATACAAGGAACCAGAAACCATTCAATAAGAGTTCATAGAAAGAAATAGGGTAGGAAACATGTATGCCTATCACTAAACGAATTCACCTTTTCCCTGGGCAGTTGCAAGGAATTGACAGCTATGAAAAGGGCAGAAATGCTTCAGACTTAACATTTCTGCTCTTAATTTAATTTTCAGTATCATCAAACCTGGTACCACGAAGGGCCAAACAGCCTGAAGGTTGCTAGACTATGGATTGCTAATTATTCACTGCCCAGGTAAGAAGAGCCTCTAAAAAGAGAAAGAAGCATATTTTGTTTGTCTCCTCTCAAGGACTGAGAATCTGCTGCTTTATAATGATGGTGGTTGTTAAATGAAACTGAAAGGTAGATACGTATGTGGACCCTTCTTTACAACCCATTTGCTCATAGTCATAATGTCATTTCTGTGTCACAGGGCAATGAAACGCTTGGAAGAGGCCCGTCTCCATAAAGAGATTCCTGAGACAACAAGAACCTCCCAAGTTCAAGAACTGCACAAATCTCTCCGGGTAAGGGGCTCTCAGCAATTGTCCAGTCAGTATCTTAAAGCTTTTATAATATTTATTAGATTTCCTACTTTGGCCTGCCCAAGGTAGCTATAGGTAAAGGCAGCTATAATTATTCCTCCTGCTTACACTGTTGTTCTTTGGGAGGACCCATCAGTTTAGATGGCAGGAATCTTCTGTACTTTGTACTCAGCAGAGGCCTGGGTTCTGCTCTTGAATTTAGTATGTCAAAGCTGTACTTTAGATCCCTCCATGGTTTTCCTGTTTTTATTTAGCTGACACAGATGCTAGTGATACGAAGACTGTAGAAGACAGTCTGCTGGAGTCCAGATAAGCCTTGACTCAATTCAGTTGTTAATATAAGTGTCCCTTAAACAACAACAAAAAAAACTATGAAAGGATCTTGGGGTGGGTTGAAACTGGAAGATTGTTTTTTTAATATTGCAAAAGTGGAGAAACTCCTAGATTAGCCTATTAATGTTCATTGTTTTACTTCCTTCTTTTATTTTTTAGTCTTTGAATAATTTCTGCAGTCAGATTGGAGATGATCGGCCTATCTCCTATTGTCACTTTAGTCCTAATTCCAAAATGCTGGCCACAGCTTGTTGGTAAGTCCCATTTTACAGTGACTTTTTTGTCTTAAAATGGGGTGTCTTAGATGCCCGTTTCTATGTCCTTTTCCTATGCTTCTCATGATTGCACCAAACTAAAGGTTCTAGTGTTTACCAATTAGATTATACAATGTAGTCTTTGTTATACAATATAGTCTTCTTCGTGTTCAGAGGGACCCCTGAGATCTGTGACATGTCAGTTGTGTCCTGACACTAGCTTTTTGGAGGTAGAAGATTGTAGACTAACCAGAATGCATACCTCAATATAAATTTTCTTGTTTAGCTGTGTGACCTAAGCAAGGTACTTAATCTCTATAAGCTTCAGTTTCCTTAGCTGTAAAGTAGGGTAAGAATGTTTGTAAATCATTTTGCCTTGATAGTGCCTGGTATGTAGTAAGGACTCAGTAAACACGAATTGCCGTTTGTATCTTTATTTTGTTTTGTACTTACCATCATATATTAAGGAAACTCTCAGACATGATACCTTTATCGTTTTGTTCTACTGAATTATTTAGTGTTTTTAAGGGATGTGACCATCCAGTGAGGGGAAACTTCCTACACTGTATGCACAGCAACTATACTAGGCAGCAAGAGGCTGTGGTTCAGAGAAAGCCAAGGACCTACACAAATCCCTCTACCTCTTCAAGCCTCAGTTACCTTCATTCTGAAGTAGAGATGGTCGTTCCTTGTGGGTCTGTTATAAGGATCATTTGAGATAATAGGTATAAAAGTAACTTGATAGAAATTTTCTGAAATAAAAAGTTTTTAAGCACTTTGTAAGCAGCAAAATACTTTTCATATTTAAGGAGATAGTATCATTATTGTTGTTGGATGGTTTGTCCTATCTTCCTTCACAAATTGATCCAAAAGTTAAGGAAAATAACAATTTACACTAATTGCAGTCCAGTAGAGGCCTCTGGGTACATGAGACCTGGATGGAGCTTTCTTCTGTAGCCCTTCAAATGATAAACTTTTCTTTTTCTGTCTGCCACTGTAAAGTTTATTGGGGGTGAGAAGAGATTGTCCTTAATTAATGTTACCAAGGTACCTTTTCCTTCCCAGACCAACCCTGGCTGAGATGCTTTCCTTTGTATTTGATAGGAGTGGGCTTTGCAAGCTCTGGTCTGTTCCTGATTGCAACCTTCTTTACACTCTTCGAGGTGAGTTAAAATCTTGTTTAAATCTCAGTCTTTTCCTAGTAATAATTCCATCAAGCAGTGAAGTTCTAAAATTCTGGCTGACACTCAGGTGCAATACTCACAAAATTAATTCTTTATTGATTTGTTTTGGTTTGGTTTTCTCTGACTGCAAGGCTGGAAGATAATGACTTTGTACATACACTACTTTTCTCTCAGTCCAGCCCCATTCTGGCATTTTAAAGTCTCTAAACCAAAAACAAAACATTTTGTGTGCTTTGCTTTTATGATGTAATTTAAATATTAGTTTTAAATAGTTCATTTTTTTAGTAGTTGAAAAGTCACTTTAATACTCTATGACCACATGTTTCCTAATACATATCTGTAGTACTCATCATAGTCCGTTTTTGCACATAAGTTGTAAGGGGGCAGGAACTCTTTAACTTTCTTTTATATTACTTCAGGTCATAACACAAATGTAGGAGCAATTGTATTCCATCCAAAATCCACTGTCTCCTTGGACCAGAAAGATGTCAATCTAGCTTCTTGTGCTGCTGATGGTTCTGTGAAGCTTTGGAGCCTTGACAGGTGAATATTGCTGTCCTGTACATACGGCAGTCATAAAAATAGTTGATTGGTTGGCCCTTGGGACCTGCACATCTGCCATTTAAACCCTGAGATGCTCTGAGAGTCAGAGTAACTTGCTGTGAAAACAGAATGGAGGATTGCTTTCTTAGACCTTTTCTCATCAGAGGAGTTGTGTCAGGTTTTTCTTATTTGTTAACTTTGGGCCTTTATTTTTTTCCTCTAACACAGTAGCCCCTGTTTCCCAGCTCCAGTTATTCTGGAAAGATCCATCATACCTCCTCCTTAATAGACTGATGTTAGAGAAATGCCCTGTTTGGTAGATTGACTAAAGATAATATACTTGGCAGCATGTTTGTTCATAGCAAATAGCCACAGGGGAGAGAAAAGGGAGGTTCTGTCTAGCAGTATTGCCAGGGAAATGATGTCTCCCCACAACAGCATCATCCTTTACCTAGACTGTGTTGTCCCAACTGCAACATTTTTTTATTAGTAAGATATGTTTATAATTGTTTTCCAAGATACTTTTAGAAGCATCTGGTTGGCTAAGAGATATCTGAATTCAGTTGCTTAGTTTCTTTAGGAAAGTACATGAGGCTTTTATTCTAGGATTTGGTAAAGAGCTAATTAGTGTCTCTACTCTCTGCCAGACGGGTCTTACCTATGAGCATAGCAAGTTTTAATAGGCTTTGGTAATTCTCAGCAATATTTATTCCCCTAGGGCTTTGCTTAGCTCTGTGTGTACACATTGACAGAGTTCCCTTTTTAATTGCCCTCTTTAGGGTTCATGTTTATTTCCTTTTACTGGTGTTTCAGATCTTTATGTAGTTGCTGGCTAGTAGAATTTAATAGCCACCAAAAGGAACTAAGCCTCTAGTTCCTTTTTTTCATGTGGATCCTTGAATAAGGTAAAGTTGGAGAAACATTTATCTGTAATCCACTCATACCAAAACTTATTTCTGTAGCTTATCTCTATCAAAGTGTATTTTCTTTCTAGAATTTCAGCACAACTTGGTGAAGAGAGACTATTTTGCTTTCAAGCTGAACTATTTTTTATTTTTCTCTAATCCTAAGTGGTGTAGCATAAAGAGTCAATTAACATAATGAGTTGAGATAGGAAGGCAATGTTTATTTTACTGCTGTGGGCAGTTTTGCCTTGTGGGCACATGAAATAGTCCCAAACCTTTTAAAACCTAGAGAAGTGATCTAAATTACTGTAAACCCTTTATTTTTAACAAGTAACAAATTTAGTTACAATTTGACATCTCAAATCATACAAAATGGGTGCATCTGTGAAAACAGTTAATAAATTCAATGAATATTTACATGAGTATAAAATAGTTTACTCACATATATTTGGTTCTTTTCAGTGATGAACCAGTGGCAGATATTGAAGGTCACACGGTGCGTGTGGCCCGTGTAATGTGGCACCCATCCGGGCGTTTCTTGGGTACCACCTGGTAAGACATCCTGTTGTCTTTCTATCCATGCGAGCTGTGACATCTTGTTAACCTTTTATAGCTAACTGCAAAGTAAATTTTTAGAGCAGAAATCATCACATAGGATTTGGTTGGACTGCAATGAATCAGAATCAGAAGAGGGTATGATCCAGTTAGGGCTAAGTGTATTTGCTTTTAAAGCACAGTTAATCTGAAATTTCAACCACTGATCGCTAGAAAACTAGGATTTTCATTCTTCTCCTGTGACCAATACCAGAGGGGTGTTTGCTACACATCATATTATAATCTCTGTTTACAAATTGGTCTCCCTTTCTGGTTCTATAGGTTTAATGAGTCCACAGTCTGTTAAAGAACTTTTAAATGAGGCAAAATTAACGTGCAGTGGAATGAATTTATTTTAAGTGCATAGATCAGTCAGTCTTGACAAATGGATACAATATGTGTAACCCACATCTCTGTCAATAGAACATTTCCATCACCCCAGAAAAGTTGTCCCATGCTCCTTCCCAGTGAACCCCTGATTCCAAAGCAACCATTGATCTGATTTCTATCACCATAGATTAATTCTGTCTGTTCATACAGTATGAACTTGTTTCTGTCTGACTGCTACTTGGCCTAACATTTTGAAGATTCATTCATATGTTACATGTATCAGTTCCTTTTTATTGCTGAGGAGTATTCAGTTGTTTGACTCTGCCTTGGCTTATTTATCCATTTCTTATTAATGGACACTTGTGCTGTTCCCAGGGTTTGGCTAGTCAAAATAAAGGTGCTATAAAATTGTATGATGCCTTTTGTGAACATGTTTTTCTTTCCTGTCTCTTGAATAAATGCCTAGGAATGCAACTGCTAGGTCATAGGGTAGATGACTATTTAACTTCTTTAAAACTTCCAAATGGTTTTCCAAAGTGGTTGTACCATTTTACATTCCCAGAATTATGGTTGCTTCACATCCTTGTCAGCACTTGCTACTGTCAATCTTGCCATTTTGCCCAGTCTAGCAAGTACATAATGAAATCTCATAGTTATAGTTTTTTTATTACCCTAATAACTATTGGTGTTGAGTACTTGATCATATACTTATTGACCATTTGTAAATCCTCTTTCATGCAGTGTCCAGGTACTTTTCCATTTTTTTAATAGGGTATTTTTGTTTGTTTTTTGCCTTATTTCCATGCACATAGACAGTTCTACCAACATTTATTGAGACTTTCCTTTCCCTATGGAAATAGCTCTGGTAGCCTCACTGAAAATCATTTGACCATGTATGTGGGTCTCTTTCCATATTCTTTCTTCAGTTCTGTTGATCTGTTTGTTAATGATTGATTTTTGTATCTAACAACCAATTTAGGGCCCAACAAATTCTCAGTGAATAAAAAGATATAATAGTGAAATAGGTTAAGAAAGAAGGCATCAGAGTCTTTGCTGAGCCATTCTTAGGGAATTCTGTTCTTAAAATAGCCACTGAAGTAGGTTTTTAGGAAGCCCATGGTTTCCCAGGTAGCACTCACGAAAGTCAGATTAGCTCAGTTGTTGAGGCATTGTTTATGCCTGTAAAGAAATTCTTGTTAATATGGTTTATAGGGAGATTTAGAGACATAACTTGAGCTATAAACTATAGCACTTTAGACATTGTAGGAACTGAGTGTCTGCTGGTTAATTGTTTGATTTCTTAGCTATGACCGCTCATGGCGCTTATGGGATTTAGAGGCTCAGGAAGAGATCCTGCATCAGGAAGGCCACAGCATGGGTGTATATGACATCGCCTTCCATCAAGATGGCTCTTTGGCTGGCACTGGGTAAGTCTTCTTCCACATAACCAGGGGCATCTCAGTAGTCTCACCTCTTAGCTGTGCCCACTTCCACAGAAAACTGGATTAAAAATGTTCATTTATAAATTATTTTATCAGGGGACTGGATGCATTTGGTCGAGTTTGGGACCTGCGCACAGGACGTTGTATCATGTTCCTAGAAGGCCACTTGAAGGAAATCTATGGAATAAACTTCTCCCCCAATGGGTAAAACGAGCTCATTGAATGAGGGGTGGGGAGGGCTAGTGGTCAGAAAGTATTCTTTGTTTCTAATTTGGATACTTCATCTGACTGACAGCTATCATGTTGCAACTGGCAGTGGCGACAACACCTGCAAAGTGTGGGACCTTCGACAGCGGCGTTGTGTCTACACCATCCCTGCCCATCAGAACTTAGTGACTGGTGTCAAGTTTGAGCGTAAGGTTTTCCCACTTTAGGCCTAGTCACAGGACAGATTGTACTTCCATGGAATGCAGGCCAGCTTTAGCTTAAGTTGGAAGTGGAACTGGAGAGAATTTGGACTCTGCTGAAGGAACAAATTTTAATTTCCTTCCCTCTACCATACTTTCAGACAGAGCTGTGGCATGGCATGCATCTTGCTGCTGGGAAGTAAAGGAGACTTCCATGAATACTTCGCTTCTTTTTCTTTCTCATGGAAGTTCCAAAGCTCTGAGTCCTTAATATTACTCTGGACAGGTATCTATCCAGAAGAGAGCCAAAAGACCTTAATAATGTTACTTGTTTCGCTAAGTCTGCCTATTGTCCCTTTTCCCTGGAGGCCTACTAGGAATATAGTTGTGAATGGGAGAGGTTTTTGGACGTGGAAATAACTGTCTTTTTCAAAATCGTATGTTCATATTTTTGTGGTTTTATTTTCTATGGTCTTTTGAATAATTGAATTCCTCAAGCAACTTCCGTTCTTTTCTCTTGTAGCTATCCAGGGGAATTTCTTGCTCACTGGGGCCTATGATAACACAGCCAAGATCTGGACCCACCCAGGCTGGTCTCCACTGAAGACTCTGGCCGGCCATGAAGGCAAAGTGATGGGCCTGGACATTTCTTCCGATGGGCAGCTCATAGCCACTTGCTCATATGACAGGACCTTCAAGCTGTGGATGGCTGAATAGGCAGGACCTTGGAAAAAGGACTCTCACCTCAAACAATCTCATAAGGGCCATTTTTCAAAAGAAAGGAATTAATATGTTTGGTTCTATCATGTTTTTTGCCAATTACTATGTATAGTCCCTTAAAAGAATTGGATTTCCATGTCAGTCCCCACTCCACGCAGGCAGCCTGCCCAGTCCCTGTATGCCAAACTTCATAAAATTTTAATTTTCACGGTTGAAATTTTAATTTTCATCTTTCAAGCCCTGCCACAAACTGTAAACATTGTTCTTATTAATCTTTTGTTTGAATGCCTATTGCCTCCTTTACAGCACTCAGGATTGTGACGGACTCCATTTTTAATTCTTGGAACTTGGCTTTCCGTTACATGGTACAAGCTTCAGGACTACATGTGACCCAGAGAGCAAGATGGCTGGACCGTAGTCTGGAAGCTCTCGAGTCAGATGGCACATCTCTGGTGAAACAATGCCTACAGAGTGAGAACCTTTCCTTGGCCTTTAGAATGGGAGATGAAGAGGTAGACCACAGCTGTGCTCAGAGTTATGAATTGAAGATTTCACCTCTTCTTGTTGCATTCACCTGGAATGCTAACTGGGTGAGGAAGCTCAGAACTGAACATTTGCCTCGTCAGAAAATGTCTTCCATTTTGCTTTGAAGTTTGGCATCCTTCATGTTACTCCAAAGCTAGGCCTTCGTGTCAAGATTTAATGAAATTCTTAGAAAGCAAACATGATGTCTCTATTGTTGCAGCCTCCTTTATTGGTTATTTAAAGGATGTGTACCCTTCATATTGAGATAACTGAAAAAAATACCTTGTTATTCCTAAACGTAAACTTTTTTTACAGAGTAAAATCCTGTTATAAAAACTCCTTTAAAGAATTACTTTGTATAGTTAAGCATTTTCTGAATCCCAGCAATTGGTCCATAAGAGGACCTCCTTTTTTTTGGTTTGAGATGTAACAGATCTCAAATACAGCTTATTCTAATTTTGGTCTCCTTAATAAGTACTCTTAATAATTTAAAAATTTTAAGAAGTAGAGGGCTGTTGCATTGTGGACCAGACTACCAGTAAACCCCATCTGGACTGTAATTCTTACTCAATGACCATCCAGCAATTACCTTCACCTCTTTCCACCCCAAATACACAACCACTGAAAGTACACAGTAAATTCACATAAAAATATAATTAAAAGAAAGAATTTATAGAGAATTCAAGAAGGGTGTATATGAAGGCTTCTTGAACACTCAAAACACTTTCCATTTTGTTGTTCAGACAGGCTTAGAATGTTTTTGCATAACTCCTGTGAACTATGAATGTGTGACCTATAGCTAAATAATTGTTTGATTTCAATTACAACCAAGTAGTTGCATATATTGTATATTTGTTAAGCTTCTGAATTAACAGCTCTACCCTCTGTTGGGTACTTCACTATTGCTTAAATATTGACTCTTATTTTTCCTCCATGATTAGCTATGAAAAGAAACTATTTTTCATTACTACTTGTGTGTGTGAACTAATAGTGAACATTAGTGTGTTAGCATTGCAATTTGGATATACTGCATTAACAAAGGTTCTCAGTTTTAAAAGTTTATATATTTTACTATTCCATTAGATTTGTCTTTTTTTTTTCATTCTAAGTGATTTAGAGGTAGCAACTGAGTGAAAATATTTCATCTAAGCCTTCAGCAAAACAAATATCTTGTGGAATATACATTTCTTCGTTGGAAATACTGTAAGAAAGCAGCTAAGGAACATAAGCCAAGTGTGGCATTTTATGATAATGGTGAGATAAATATAGCCCCCACTTAACAGGACACTCTGCTTAGACACTATGCCAGGCACATTCAGACATCTCATTTAATCCTCCAGATCTTGTAAGTTCATTATTATACCCTTTTTACAGATAAAACCAAAGCTCAAAAAAGCTAAGTAACTTGCCCGAGGTTACTCAGTAAGTGGTGGGGCCTGGTCTTCCTGTCTGTGATGTTATGAAAAGATTGCATCAGCCTTTATTGAGTATGTGGGCAATACTGGCCAGATAAGAAGACCAATCCAGTCAGCATAGCCTGTCTCCTGTACAAAGCCTGAGCTTTTAAAGGATACTCCCATTTTATACTGCACTTTTGAGTCATTGTATCTGTTACTCTGACGTATGCCAAAGGGCATTAATTTCACTTCTCATGAATTTAGGGGGAGTCTATAGTGTTATTCAACAGAAAACTACTTGCATCTGGGGATAGATGATACTTGCTGTGTGGAACAGTCTTTAACTATTTGCAGCATGTCAGCATCCCTGATTCCTGGAACCGAAAGCCAGAACACATCCGCTTCATTGGAATACCAAAGATAACTCCCAAACATTTCTGAATGACCCCCTAGGAGGATGGCACTGCCCCAGTGTTAGAACTAGTGAATATAAAAACAGGATGCTATAATGTTAAGTATATTCTTCCCTATCCCAAAAAACTCAAACTTTATGTCTTATCTGGATGGTGTGTCAGCCATTCCAGGAATGTAAGTTCTGTTTTGACTGAAAGTCCACCACTTACTAGCTCGGTGACCCTGACCTTGGCTCTAAACTGCAGGGCCTAAGTTTCATCTGTGCAGTAGGGATGAAGCTTACTTAACTGGTACAGCGGGTCCTCGTGCAGAGGCAGGTGATCCTCCTGAGCTCCCCCAGCTCCTCTTCCTGTTCCTCATGGCTCAGAGAACATGGTGAGGTCATTGCCTAATTTACCTGCCACAAGATGCAGGAGCAAGGATGTGTAAAGAAATGAAGTCAGTGGGGAGAGGTCAGGTCTCAGCTTAAGGGTAATTATCTTTGATGGCACAATTGGGGAGGTAGATGCAAGTCTCCTGGCAGGATACATAGGCAGCTTTCCAATTTTGTAGTGGAGAAATTTTTTCTTCCCATTGGAGCTTAAGACTGGTCTTACTAAACATGAAATAATATGTCTTGACTATTTTGCAATATCTTGTACATTAAGACCCCTAAAATTTATGGAAGCTAGTTCCATTAAACTCACAATTGTTATTTAGAGCAGTAAAACCAACTCAATTTCTGGCTTCTGAAAGCTTATTCTTTAAATATTTTGAAGAACTCAAAATGTTACCTTTTCATAATTGTGATGCTGTTTAACCACTCAGATTATTTCAGAACCCCGAGCCACCAGGCAGTATTAAAACTAGGGAAGCAGAAACCAGGGTTTTAGACACTAGTGGTAGTAACGTCAAGCAGTAGCTTGAGCTTTCCAATTCTATCTTGTTTTCCTTGGGTCCTAGAATCTGTCATAAAATGAAAACAAGGGCTCCCTGCCTGCATGGGCTGCGATGGGAGCTAAGGCTTTTACCCTAGCCAGGGTTTCTGCCTTGTTGAGGTTAGCATTTCAGGGCTTAGGGGAAAGGAGTCAGCCCACTCTGCACCTACTCTTTTCATTAGGCCCAATCTCTCCTACCAGGACCTTCCAAATCCCAGACCTGATCAACTGACCCTAGCTGCTTTTGCCTTTAAACTTTTATACTTAGCAGTCCATAAACCATATGGACATGAGGTGGTCTTGCACAAGAAGAAGCCAGATAAACATGCCCTCCTTGCTGGTAAGGGCTCTCTGTCCCCCGAGGATAATGCTGCCCTTCTCTTCCCCTAGTTTCAACACAGCACCAGCCAAATACATGGTTACTGAATGAGTAAGTGAATGAATGAATGAAAACAGACCAGTTTTACTGATACTGATGGCAAAACATCTGGAGAGGAATCTGAAAGGATGAGACATACACACTTGGTCACAGAATTGACTCTCAACTTTCAGAAGTTGTTTAGCAACATGTAATTTAAAAAGCAACTCAAAAAGTGAACTGAATCCAGAGCAATGCAACTTGCTCGTCGGGCTAGCCAGCTTCCTGGATGGCACGGTCCAGCCCTTTGGCACAAGTGGCTGCATCGCTCTGCCCTTCCATGGCGCCATAGTTCATACCCAGAGGTCTCTTGGCCTCTTCTCTCAGCCCTTTAGCTTTCAGAGGTTTTATGGCAGGACTCTTATCCCAGAAGCAAATGGATGGCCTAATGGTAAAATGAGCAATACTATAAAGGCAGACAACCCAAACGAGGTCCTGCAGGCCCCATACCCAGCAACCACTGAGAAAGACTTTGTTTCTTGTTGGGGACAGACGCTCACCCCATACCCCAAAGGAACTGCTTGGTCCAAAAGATGGAGAAGATGAGCAACAGAGTGACACTGAGGATGACAGCCATCAGGTAGGCAAAGATCCGGAGCTGAGGGTTGCGAAAACACTCCCTCAGAGAGTAGTGGCTGGGGATGGAGACGGGTGTAGGCCTGGTGGCTGGGGCCCTGTCCTGGGGGGGCACCGTCTGGCTGTCAGGCTCAGCGCCTAGATCCAGCGTGTAAACCCGGGGCTGTCGTAGGAAGTAGCGGCTCTTGGGCTGGTCCTTGAGACAGAGCTGCCGGCCTTCCAGGATGACGTGGTGGGGCTCCAGGCGAAGCAGGGTGAGCACGGCAGTATCTGTGGGCAAGTCAGTGACAGGCTGCCCGGATGCCAGCACAGTGGGCTGGCGACAGAGTGGGCACAGCAAGCGGCGCCGGGCCGGGGTCACCAGGCTGAGGTGGGCCAGGCATTCCACACAGAAGGAGTGACAGCAGTCCAGCACTTTGGGGGTGTGAAATGTGTTATTGAAGGGGTTCCAGCAGACAGGACACTCCGCCTCAGGCTTCCGGCCCTGCTGATGGGCCATCCTCAGATCAGACACCAATAAGCCTGGCAGAAAGGTAAAAGGAACAAACGAACACCCGGTAAGCTCTGTCCCTGTGCTTGATCCCAAGCCACGAGTCCTCTGAATTAAAAAGTACTGCCACCCACGTTTCACAGATGAAAAATGGGTTCAAAAAGTCTGATTTATTCCAGACCACCTGGTTCCTAAGCTGTAGAACTAAGCCTGGTGTTCAGGGAAAAGGCCTGAGCCACCCCACAAAGAATGAACTGCCACTGGAGGACCCCAGTTTTGGAGAAGGATAAAAATGCTCCTTATGTTCCATGCAATTGCCCTTTCCTTCTCAGACTCCAGGGAGAAGGAGGGGAGCCACAGTCAGTGGTTTATGCTGAAAGGCAAATATTTCTTTCCCTGCTGCCTCAAATCCCTGACTAGTGCAGAGATGGCCTTTGTGAATTCCCTGGTCTATCTCTCTTCTAAGGACAAATGCCAGGTCCTCTTTCTCCTCTCCCATTGGGCTATAGGACCAACCCTGCAGAGCCCATTTGCCCAGTTTGTATGGGGCACTGCACTGGCCTGAAGGTTTCCCCTTGGCCTGGAAGCTTGAAAAACCTCCCCTGCCCAGGTCCCCATATCAGCCCTTGCAGAGTCTCCTCCCAATACTTGGCCTCCTCCTCCCTCCCTCCCTCTATCTCCAGAAACCCAGGGCACCCACCTGGGCTTCCTTGGCACCAGGGTGATGAGGCAGACTACCTGAAGGGCCTGAGGCTCCAGTCTCTCCCTCTCCTGAATCTGCAAAGCTTTGGGAGACAGCCTTCTTGCCACCAGCCCTGGGGCCCGTCACCATGGCAGCGCACACGCAGCACCTGGGGCTGCCAGGTGGCTGGGGTGCCGCCTCTTGAGCTACCTGCCTGCAGCAAAGGCCAGCGAAGGGTGGCGGGAAGCAGGGTGGGGAGGTGGGGGACCTGTCCTCCTGGGGGCGTGGCAACCAACCAACCCTGGTAGCCAAGTATCTGGGTAGCAAGATTGTGGGCCGTCTCTTCAAGACCTAGAATCCCTGGCCTGGCAAGGTAGGGGTGGTAATTTCCTTCTTCTAGATTATGGAAAAGATAACCAAGCCTTCTGGGCTTCATCTCTCCTGGGCCCTCATTTCTTTTCTAGGATTGAAACCTCCTTCTCACACAAAGGGGCTGCCTGCCCTGCACTTCAATTGCTCTGCAATTCCTCTCTACACAGGCTAAACCTCTGAATATTAGAATCAGCAAGTTCAGGTGCCCAAGTAGCTACACCCAACACACACAAGCCTGGCTGCCTTCTTTGTTCTCAGAGCACAGACAGCCTGGCAGGCACTGATTGCTGAGATCTTAGTGTGCAAGGGTTGACAGTCCCACCACCCTCAAGGATTTAAATGGGGGTGGGGGGGCCGGAAGAGGAGGGCTCCAGCCACACCTCCCCAGTTCAACCAGAAACAGCTTTTCTCACAGTGGTCATTTGAGTAAGCTGAAGAGTTGAGCTACTGAGGACAAAAAAAGGCTTACAAACCACTTCTCCTTCCTAATCACTCAGGTTGCAGATGGGAGGCAGGAAGTGGCTCTCACCCAAGGTCACCCAGCTGGTTAATGGTGACACTAGGACTTCCAGTCCCCCACCATGCTGAAGCACACCACTCATC